TATATATATATATATATACTAGAAATTTGATTAGATTTAGTTACTTTTCGTTATTTAGAGAAATAATTAAATTTAATTAAAATTAACAAAAAGAAGAGCATACAACCACAGCACAAGTTATTTTTTGTGACATTAATATGTAATGAAGTTTATAAATGATTTAGATGTTTCGGCCACAATCTGGCTATCTTCAGTAATTTATAAATCTCAGTAAAAATTTATAAATTTCAGAATTTACATAAATTTCACATTCAATTTCAACAATCCTAAGTTCTACATAATATGTAATATGTTAATTGGTTAACAATAACGGTTTATGATGACTCGTACAAAAGAAAAAAAAAACATTGATTATGATTATTTTTCTGACTTTTTTTGAAATTAAATGTAAAATTTATGTAAATTCTGCGTTTTTACTGAGATTTATAAATTCACTGAAGATTGTGATCGAAACGTCTAAATCATTTATAAACTTGATTATATTAATGTCACAAAAAAACTTGTGCTGTGATTGTATGCTCTTCTTTTTGTTAATTTTAATTAGATTTAATTATTTATACTCTAAATCATGAGAAATAATTAAATCTAATCAAAATTTTAGTGTATACAGGGTGTCTGAAGTAATCATCAAATATTTCATAGGCAGGTAGAGCGGACTAAATTGAGTCAAAAAGTCCTCTACCATTTTGTAAATTTCCCCAACAGTTAACGAGATATTAATCCTTAAAGATAGCCGAATACGCGCGCTTGCTCAGCCTATTACTGCGAAGTGTAAATGTACCGATCGTTTGGCGCGCGGGCCTTTGGGAGTTGGGGATTGGCTGGCAAGCTCACCGCGCTGCGCACATCGCCGCAAGCCTCCATAGCTCGGATGCTTGCCAGGTTATCCCCGCTCCCCTCGGTCCGCGCGCCAAGTGATCGATAGGCGTATATACTTCGCAGTAGTATATTCGGCTATTTTTAAGAATTAATATCTCGTTAACTATTGGGGAAATTTACAAAATGGTAGAGGACTTTTCGACTCAGTTCTACTTGCCCATGAAATATTTGGCGATTATTTCCAGATACCCTGTATATATTTCAATGTGTTCTAACCGGTTTTTTCAAAATTTAATTTTTGAATATTTATTATTTTTGGATATCATTTTTGAAAATTCAGTTCTGTGTACTAATAAGTTATTAATAAAGAAATAAACAGTATATCGTATTTATTTTTACAAGAATTTTAAATTTATGTGTTATTGTATTTCTGAAGTAATCTAATTTTCATTTGAAATAATAAATCAAATCGACGTTAATCGATAAATATTATTATAATATTATTTCTAGTTGGAAGTATATCTTGCTAATTCAATATTAATTTATAAAATACAATTTAATAATTAGAACAATCATCTAAATTATCCAATAACAAAATGGCTTTTCGTTCCGAAGAAACTTGGACTTTGATAAAGTAACTTATATAATAGCTATTATATATGTAATAGTAACTGAATAATTTTATCTTGTATTATCATTGATTATTTAAACTGTAATCAAGATAATTTTTATCTATTTATAATCTTGTGTGTATTGATTGTGTTCATTTTGGAATTAATTTTCTTATCTAAAATAAAATTTTTTTTCTAAATCTAAAAAAGCAGCGCGAAGTAATTAAGCATTAAGCTGCTTTTTCTACTGAATGCAGTCATTAAGATTATCTGTATGTTATGTATTATCTTAATATAGATATATATCTTAGTTGCTTCAGGTATGATAAGATCGAAAATGTAAAAATGTTCAAAAATTTAAATCAACTATAAATGCTGCAAAATATTATTATTTAATTAGTTACAATAATAAATTAGAAATAAGATTATTTTATGAATAAATCAACTAAATAAGAGAAGCACTACTTACAGTTAAAGTCTCACACACTCACACACACACACACACACACACACACACACACCCGCGCGCGCACGCACACACACACACACACACACACACAGACGTTGGAATAATATAGCTATATCAATCCATATGCATTTAAATAAATTTATCCAGATTGAGCGGCGATACTTTTTTGTGATATATTCAAATAGAAATAATAATAAACCCCTTAAATGTAATACTAATAATATTTTAATGATACTTTGTAGTCCGGTTGTTACTGAAATAATAATTTATCTGAATTAATTGCCTTATTTTTCTTTTTTTTTTGAAAATATACGAAACCATTCAAAGTACATTTGAATGAATCACAAATGGAAGATTAATTTAAAAAATGATCTGCTAGGCCAAATTCTTACAGAAGCTCTAATCTACTAGAGATCCTGTAATCAAAGATACGAAATAACGTTTCGAATTTTAATTAGTATTGCCATTTTTCAGCAAATAATACATCTATATATACTACCACAGTCGAATCATTTTAAATATATACGTAGTTGTACACTACCACAGTCACATATTTTTATTAGCAAATATCTATTTAATTCTAATTACTAGCCTAATATATACGGGGACTGCAAAAAGTGTTAAAAGTTTTACATTTTTCGCAGAAATATAGCAGAGAAATAATTTAGAACATAAGGACACAAGATAGAAAGTAAAGACATTATATTTGCATTTTGTTTGGACATTCACACACCGTAAGCTTCATTTCATCTTCCTTCTAATGTAGATCACAAAGTTAAAATAAAAGTTACAGCACGTGAACGTCCAAATCGAATCAGTCTTGACATTATTAAAATAAAATTGAAGAATAAAATAATCGAAAACTATGTAAGAAGCCTGTTTTGTATTAACATTCTGTACTCTTAACGTTATAGTTACAGTAATACTATTACACATAATAAAATTATTTACAAATTTCAGTAAGTTTATTAGGCATTATTAAGATCTTCCCAAAAAGTCTATAAACATCAAATCATTATATTATTACTGTAGTTCTGCCAAGATTGCGTTTTAAAAGTCCAAAGAATCAACTCGGCGCTCAATTTTCATGATGACGTGTAAATATCGAATTATTAGCATTTAAGATTCATTTCAGCTTCGACTGTTGAAAATTTTATCTCCTATTGATTATGTATTCACATATATAGTCCAATAAAAATCTTTCTTTATATTGTTAAATATTACTTTGTTACTTATACGCATTGTAAAAGATACAGTTTTTAAAATAATTAGACCGTTACAGTTATTTGAAGATAAATGTAACTAGATACAGATATTATATGTTTATGAGTAACTAGATACATTTATTTTAGAAATAAATTTAGACACTTGTACAAATACATAATTTTATTTCAAATATCTTTGTTTTTTTTCAGCATATAATTCAGCATATAAGTACACTGAGAAAAAATGCTATTAAATATATAAAAAAGATAGATTGAGTAATTAAATGCATGTATCACGGACTGTCACAAACATAAGTAATTAATTCAACCCTTTGTTATTGACTTAATTTTAATCTTTTTATTTGTAACAATTACATATCAATTTGACTTAAAAACATATAATGATAAATTAGAACCATATTGAATTGAAGAAACATTTCCTTATGTTAAATCAATATCGAATAGTTATATAAAATATTTAATTAAAGTTGACGGAGCTACATTACAAAATAACAGGAATAATTAAGTTGTTGCTAGCTGTACTAATTCCTAAATAAATCCAACTTTACATATAAAATATTCTAGACTTCATATATAAAATAAATTCGACTTTAAATTAGTGTAATTGATTTGAATGTTACATTTTCTCAAAAAATAGTTGTTCTTTTACTAAAGTTCTTTCTTCATTATTCTTGTGTAGAGTTATTTTATAGTTTTACATACGGTTTATTAGTATATGTAGTGTCATACATATAATATAAATATCCAAGTTTATTCTCTTTTTAATCTTTAACTATTTTTACTTTTTAATCTTTAATCAAATCTTCGCAATTTTCTAAGGACTGGTTTTTTTTTTTGGTTTCACTAATACCAATCTTGATCGACCGATTTAATTTGAGAATTGCTAACTATTAAACTTATCATCTGTAAATAATTTCTTATGAACTCAGCTGAATTAATTTCTGTTTAGATAGACGTAATTATAGAGTATTATTACATCGAAAATTTTTCTTTATATAATTTTTAAACGAATATAAAGTATCTTACAGTATTCGCTGTATTCACTTTCCAACATTTTCATTGATTTTAGTTTTCACAGAAATATATTTTATTCAAAAGTTGTATAGATTATAAGGACGCAGATAATAGTAAAATCAATTTTCAAAAAAATCAATTTTTCAAAATCATATAAAAGTTATGTCTTCACTTTTTTTGTAAACAAAAAATTGTAATTTGGATTACATATATGATCCCACATATATAATATGATCCCTCTAATTGTTCTGTACAGAAGGTGAAAGTCGAAAAATTAAAAGAGAACAAGTATATACTAAGAGTAACATACTTGCTCTCGTGCAAAAGGAGGAGTATGCCAGTGAAGGCCGTTGCACGTCGCAAATTCTTTAGTATCAAGTTGTTCGCTGAGCAAGAATACACACGCTGTTTTGATCTGAAGTCGTACTCGTATTCCATCTGTACTCATATTCCTATTACAAAATCTATTGTTAATTGTGATTAATTAATAAAAATATACAAAGTAGTGAAATGAAGAAGATACATATTGACGATGGTAAAGCAAAATTTTATTATTTTTAATTAATATGTATTAAATAGAAAGTTTTTGATTGAAGTAGTAATCGAAGCTCTCTGAGTTTCAAAGAGTAAATTTTATTTATTTTATATGTTAGAAAAGAAAAGTGTGCCTTAAAGAGTTTCAATTAAATCGAATATAATTTCAATCATAATAGAGTGATCAAAATATCACGTATATATTACGCAGATAAGTGCATCAATAATGACTAATATTTTATCATCGATTTCTATTCTGCGCCAAGTAAATATATTGATTAAACCAAAACTATTCTAAAATATATATGTAAGCGCAAAAACGTAATAATTGAACATTACTTTGCGCCGAACATTATAGCAATTAAATATAATATAATTCGTTGAACGTACCTCACATTAAATTTTGTATTTTTGTCACATATAAATTATACATAATTATCGTATTATATTAGAATACTAATATTCTTAAAATTTTTTTCATCTTTTAGTTATCAATTTTATCCTTTAGTTATCTCATTACTATTATAATTTAGAATTACATCTTTCTTTTACTTCACTTAGTCAACAATAATATAATAGCAATACTATTAAATTTGATATTTTATATATTTCCAAAATATTATAATTACTTTTTTATTAAATAATTATGTAAAGATATTTTTAAATAATCTAAAGTAATCATTAACAAGGTTTCGTGATCTCACTCGATACACAATCTTGATATCAAAAGTATGTTCAATTGTAACATTCATAATTCATAATTCTAAATTTTTTAATATTTTATCTGTATAAATTATTTTGTTGTATCGCTGAGGATGCCTTAATGCAAATCAATATGCAGAATTGTTTCGAATTCATTAAATTATATAAATAGAATCGCAAAAACAATTGGCACTTATTGCTTTTTTGTATATAATTTAAATTTTAATTAACTAAAATATCTAATATTTAATATATAAAATATTTAATAATTAATTAGCTTATTATATCTAATATGTGTAAAGAGTTCAAAAAATTACTAAACAAACATAAAATTATATTTTATTTTATTTGAAACCTAAATATATAGAAAAATTATAATGTAACGTGTTATTTGAATAACACATTCGTTTATATATCTTTAATCGAGTGAAAGTTTTGTGCCAAAAAATCGTAGAAATGCCCCAATTTTACAAGTATCTTATTCAGCTTTCACTTTCAGAGTGCAGTAACACTTAACATAAATCATTGCAATCATTATAACGGATTCTAATTTAGCTGTTGAGACTTGAGATTGCATTGTTACTTTGACTTTAAGCAAGGCTTGAAACTCTCTCTCTCTCTCTCTCTCTCTCTCTCTCTCTCTCTCTCTCTCTCTCTCTCATTTTAAAGCCGAAAAAAAGACAGAGACAAAGAGAGTTTTAAGTCTCTTAAAAAGTAACATTGATGCAATCAGGCTTATGATAAATAGAATTAGAATCCATTGTAATGCGATGATTTATGTTGAGGGTCACTGAATTCTGAAAATAAAAAACGAATAAGATGTTTATAAAAAATGGTAGGATACTTTTAATTTTAATATTAAAATAAAATTATCTAAAGTAATAAATTTGAATAAATAGATGAATAGATGAGTATTTATTTCAATTATTTCTTCTTCTTTTTGTGTGTCTTTAAAAAAGACTTTGTATAGTGTAATATGTAGCGAAATAATAAATCAAAGCGAACAAAAGACTTTTGTTAGATAAGTAACTTTTATCAAATTTATATATTTTACGAATAAAATATGATCGATAAATTTGAATAATAATTTATTCAATTCATTAATATTAATTTAGAACCTTGTGCTGAATGAAAATGATTCATGCAAAAATTGATAATTTCCGCAATACTTAAACTAATTCTGCTCATTATTTTGCACATAAAAGTGAAATGTAACTATCAAAATATTACTACTTTCTTCAAAATTCTATAAAAAATTCTCTAAAATGTAAAATGACATTTGCAATACATTCTTAATAACAATGGAAAAGTCACTGTAGCAATACTGAAACAATTTAATATTTTAAAATCAGAAATATTATGAAATAATGAATTGTAACAAATTTTACTTAAAAAAAAGTCGTAAAATTAAACAAATTACAAACCATTATTTTGAAAAAATAAATATATATTGCAAATGTATTAGCGTGTTTGTGTAAAAAATAGAATTGTTTATTATATGATTTTTCAAATTATCCGATTTATTTCTATTGTTCTATTTTTCAATTTATATATAAAACACGTTGCAGTCCAGCCACGGACAGTGGATGAACATTACAAATTAATCCTAGAAGATAAGAGTGTAATCGATCCGGAAGCAACCGATATATCATTCAATGATCTTCCAGAATGGTATAATAAACAATTATATAAAGAGTAAGTATTCAAATTGAATTAAAATTCCAATTCTATTCCGATAGTAATAATCATTGCAATAAATATAGAAGAAAAATATTTTTTCATATTAAACATAAATTGAAACATTTAAGAGATCAATAATTTAAAAATAAATTATATAAAAATATAAAAATATATATAAATAGGCAGTAATATATTATTGAAAATTTGAAATGAATTTTCCCTTAAAATTCGCGATTCAGCTAATTAAGTGTTTAAATAAAATGCAAGATGTGAAGAATGTGAATTTAACGCGATTTGATAGAATGTGATCATAAATATATATTTGCGAGAAACGTGTTTTACGCCATATGGTTCACTGGTTACATACCTTTGACAATTCACCACCGAGGAAAAGTTCATTTACATGAAGAATCATTGACCATAGGGCACTTTTTTAAAGACTTCTACACGTGACCTATGTAAAGTAATGAGAGATATGCTTATTTACTTGAAATTATACTTCCTAAGAAAGATTATTACGGATATGTCTGTATGATGGTGAATTGCTTTCAACAATTATATACGTAGAATAGATAAATGGAC